CCCGCAGCGGCAACGCCACTCAGCTGACCACTGACTGACTGACAGGCACTAGACCAGCCGTGGGCAAACTACGGCCCACGGGCCGGATCTGGCCCGTTTGAAATGAATAAAACTAAAAAAAAAAAAAAAAAAAAAAGACCGTACCCTTTTATGTAATGATGTTTACTTTGAATTTATACTAGTTCACACAAACACTCCAGCCCTCCGGTCCAGTTTAACAACCCATTGTGGCCCTCGAGTCAAAAAGTTTGCCCAGCCCTGCTCTAGACTCAGGGCTCATGGCTGCCCACTGCAACAGAGCAGGTGCGAGCCTACCGAGGGGAGGCAGCAGCAGGCGCAGCGGGGCCAGGATGAGCAGGAGTGGCAGGCGGCATTGGACTACTGTTTTCGCCCCATCCCCACAGGCCCTGGTGAGGGACCTCACTGGTGCATGAATCCATGCACTGGGCCTCTAGTAAAAATATAAAGGGAAGGGTATGAAATGAAAATACATGTTTTGTGTAAGAGATAGCTAATAGGTCACCTTGCTGAAGTCTAAAATTTAGCCAGGCCCTGGTGGGGCAGCTCAGTTGTTTGGAGCATCATCCCATACACCAAAAGATTGTGGGTTTGATTCCCGTTCAGGGTACATACCTAGGTTTTGGATTGGATCCCCGGTCCGGGTGGCTATGGGAGGCAACCAATCAAAGTTTCTCTCTCTTTCTCTCTCCCTCCCTCCCTTTCTCCCTCTAAATATATCCTGGGGTGAGGATTTTTAAAAATTTAGCCAGGATGTATAATGAAACAAAAGGCTGTATAAGATATAGGTTAGATTATGGAGGGTTTTCAATATCATACTAAGGATATTTGGAAAGCACAGGGGAATGTGGAGAAGTTTCTGAGCAGAAGTGTCTGAAAAGGTACTTATTCTTGAAATGTTAATTTGGCAATAGTGTACAAAATGAAGTGAGAGGAGCCCACATTTGTTGCTGTGACCTAAAAGGACCTGTGTGAGCTGGTCACAGTTTATTTTCTCATCTGACACTATCCCTGTAGTTACAATAGCCTTCTTCTTTTCCTCAAATTAGGCAAGTTTTTTCCTGCCTTGAGCCCGTATACTTGTCGTGCCCTCTGCTGAAATGCTCTCCCTCCAAACCAGACCTTATAGCTGCTTCCTCATTAGTTCTAGATTTTAGCTCAAATGAAAGAGGCGTTCTCTGACCACCCATAACCTTCTTTCTCCTGTCACATCACATCACTCTATCTTTTTAAAACAAATCTACTTTTAGTCCTAGCTCAGCGGTTCTCAACCTGTGGGTCGAGACCCCTTTGGCGGTCGAACGACCCTTTCACAGGGGTCGCCTAAGACCATTCTGCATATCAGATATTTACATTACGATTCATAACAGTAGCAACATTACAGTTATGAAGTAGCAACGAAATAATTTTATGGTTGGGTCACAACATGAACAACTGTATTTAAAGGGCCAGAAGGTTGAGAACCACTGCCCTAGCTGATTTGGCTCAGTGGATAGAGCATTGGACTGCAAACCAGAGGGTCCTGGGTTCGATTCTGGTCAAGGGCATGTACCGAGACTGAAGTCTCCTCCCCGGTGGTCAATGTTTCTCTCTGTCTTTCCCTCTCTAAAAAATCAATGGAAAAATATCCTCAGGTGAGGATTTAATAAATAAATAAAATAAAAATCAGAAATTAAAAAATACATATACTTTTTTTATTGCTTTCAGAGAGGAAGGGAGAGATAGAAACATCAATGATGAGAGAGAATCATTGATCTGCTGCCTCTTGCACACCCCACGCTAAGGATCGAGCCCACAACCTGGGTATGTGCCCTGACCAGGAATCAAACCATGACCTCCTGGTTCATAGGTCCATGCTCAACCACTGAGCCACCCCGGCCTGGCACTCCATTTTATCTTTTTCGTAGCATTTGCAAGCCTCCTTCCAGATAAGTAACGGTCCTGAGGGCAGCCTTATGTCTTGTTTTTGTTGTATCTCTTGCAGTATGCCTTGGCACTCAGTATTCATTAGGAAGGAGTGAGATCTGTTAGGAACCAATTATATCTAGTTTTGGTTTGAGACTTACTGTCCCAGACAGACACGCATCTTCCTCATTCTTGTACTCATTCTGCATTCAGTCCATTTATTTTTTAAAACATATTCTTATCGATTTTAGAGAGGAAGGGAGAAGGAGAGAGATAGAAACATCAATGATGAGAATCATTGATCAGCTGCCTCCTGCACGCCCCCTACTGGGGATTGAGCCCACAACACGCGCCTGTGCCCTGACCCGGACTCAAACCGTGACCTCCCTGTTCATAGGTTGCCGCTCAACCACTGCTTCATAAATGGGCTGGGCTCCGTCCATTTATTAAACCACCGCTTGGCACTTAGGTGCTGAGGATGAAAGAAGGAATCAGACTAGATGTGGTAGACTTGATGACAGCAGCTCTGTTTCTGAACAGACCCTACAGGGCCATGTCGAGGTCACCTTCCCCCAGGGATACTTGGTCTGAACCGCCACCCACCCGCCTCTGGAGACCAAAGCGACCTCTGCATTCCCCCCTCCCAGCTGCAGAGGAGCAGCCCCTCCCCGCCGGTCCGGAGCCTGGACCCGGGAGAGTCCAGGAACGTGGCCATGCTGGTGAGATCGGCCTTGGCGTCTCTGGGGGCCTAGACGAGCGCGGCCAGGCTCGCGGGGGGCCTGGGACCCGAGCAGGAACCAGCGCGCCGCCCGGCGGGTGGGCGGGTGTCTGCGGCCGAGGCCAGGCCATCTGCCGCGAGGCCAGCGCGC